ATGCAGGTAATAAGATAGTGTGAATTGACCAACTGGCTGGATGGAAGTCACACAACCGTGTGATTCTGCCTCATGACCTACTGGAGGTCATAAAAGTTTATGACCCTTCTGGTTGAATCACAGGATACAAATGTAGCATCTTCTTTCTTTCAATGTTTCATATGTCCACACAATAATTTTATAATTATCACTCTAACAATTAACATGTCCCAATTTTCTTTTTAAAATAGATAAATAGAAATACCTTATTCATTACACTGCATTTCTACCTATAAATGAAATTAGAAATAAATTATCCAAACTGCATTTTCATTTCCTTCTCCAAGACTCCTCAATATGTAAATCAATTAAAATGCGACAAAATAATGTTTTACATGTAATTTTTAATATGTAAAAAAGATTTTTTTTTCATTTAAAAATATGTTTCAAATGTCCAGTTTTCACAATTAAAATTCAATAATGGAAATCGGTTTTCATTTTAAAGTCAAAGCTGTATGGTTTTTGACTAATAAATGAAATTGCAAGTAGATAATCTAGACTTCATTTAGTGCCATATTTTAAATTGCACCTATTCAATTTAACTTACTGCGACATTTTTTTAAATGAAAGTTTAAATACTAATCTATTTATCATATAATTCAGGAATCAAAATAAGCAGTCTTAATAAAAATGCAGTTTGGATGATCTATGAGTAATTTTATCCATGAGTTAAATTACCGGTATGCAACTCTAACTTTAAAATGCATTTTTGTTAATACAGTTTGATTTTCTCAAATTTTCACATTTAAAAATACATTTAGGTATTTTTTTTGCAATTTTTTTTTTAAGTGATTCATTTAAAAAAAATGAGCAACCTCAGAGAAGAAATTGAAAACGCACTTTGGATGATTTCTTTTATTACTTTAATCAGACAAATTGCTGACTTTTTTTATGCAAAGGATCAAATATTTCCATTAATTAATTTAAATGAGAAAATTTGGACACATTTGCTTCCATATAATCAGAAAAATATGCATTTTATTATTTTGTTGTTTATTTCTATTAATTATTTCTCGTCACTAAACTTATAATGCAGTACAGTAGCATCAATAAATATTGAATAATTTTTAGAGTTTTATTTAAACTTTACAGTTAAATTTTTTCTATGTTTACAGTGTACATTTTTATTTTTTATTTAATTATTTATTTTTACAAACTTTTTCTTTATCTTTTATCTTGGTAATAAGGCTGTGGAGCATATGCAGACAACATCAGTGGTGCTGTATCGTGTACTGGTCATGGAGAATCGATTCTTAAAGTGACGCTGGCCAGACTCATCCTTTCACATGTTGAACAAGGTAAAAGAATACTCAGTGCTGCTATTCAAAGGCACCTTTCCATATTATTCAAGATCATCTCGTCACAGTATTGTTCATCATTGAAGTTGAAAAAAATGTGTGTACTTTTTTGTAGGTAAAGGAATTCTTTTTCTGTTCATCTTGTAACTCTTAATCAGAATCAGCTTTATTTGCACACAAAAAAATTATTTGACTTTCATTCTACTTTGATTTCAATTAAGATGTTTAAAATTTTAATATATAACATGTTTTTTTTTTATCTGTTTACATACAGTGTTTTTGAAAGAAAGAAACATGGTTGAATTACTGCTTATCTATGCATTCTGTTTAGCATTCATCAAAGAGGCATCCTGAGGAAAGGAACAGATTCTGTTGTAGCTGTCATTTTTGCTGGATGTGTGAGCTTCTGGTAAAGGCTTGGCTTATGGTGTTGAAGCCCAAGCTGAGCTTTACCTACAGGATTCTGGCATACATCTCAGAGTATTCAAGGTGGAACAGCATGAAACGTTGCCCAAAAATGATTGCATCATTCACTGACAGATTTGTTTTCCTGTAAGTAAATTGCAAGGCGTCCAGCAAAGGGGCTTGAAAGTAATGGCACGACTTTATGTGGAAGGTTACATTGAAATAGAAGCTGGAATTGAGGAACCGATCTAGAGGGATTTAAGAGTGACAACAGACCAGTCGTTGATTATGTTTGACATTAAAGGTTTTAATAAAACTGACAATTTCTTTGACTCACCATAGTTGTTGTTCTCATTCTGAGGTATGCTCATTGAGCCAGGTATTGGTGAAACAGGGTATCAGATCTACAGAAGTATGAGTTTTTATAGATGAGAATTCGCAATCTGTTAATTTTGTTTTCTAGTGAAAAGACACCTGTCAGATAGATTGAAGGCAAGGGAGTCTGGAGTCACTGCTGTCACAGCCTAAGAACAATTCTGTCTGTTTAATGTATTTAAGTTGCTGGTAATTCCAATTAAGGTTTGTTGGGCCATCAACCAAGATCTCAGTGAAGTTGGGGGAATAAAAACTATAGAAAAATAACTAGAGATTGCTGTCTGGTGTTAAGTAGTTCCTCTCAAATGAAGATAACCAAAGAATGATGACATAGAGCAGACTAAATTAGCAAAAACACGAGAAGAGAACCAAGTACAGATTACACTAAATAAACAAGGTTCTTAGTGGAAACAAATAGACATGATTGCTCTTTCATTTCTTTTGCTCCGTCACAGGGAAGTCTGTAGAAGATGCCTCACAGTTGTCCCTGCAGCACATGGGTGATCGGGTCCAAGGAGCAGGTGGTGCCATTGTAGTTTCTCCATCAGGGCAGTGGGCTGCTACATTCACCACCAAGCGGATGGCCTGGGCTGCTGCTGAAGATGATGTGCTGTGGTTTGGAATAGACCCAAAGGAGAAGCTGAAAGAGAAACTGTCCCTGTAGAAGATTTTGTTTTTATTATATGTATTTTTTTTAAATTAGAAAATGAAATGCACCCGTAAAACAGTTTTCTATTTTTTATTGGTGTTTTTTGGTAGATTATTTTTTTTTTCCAACTAAGGTGTGTAAAATAAAAAAGTATTTTACAATAGTAATCATTAAAGCAACACTGAATAAGTTTTGACCGAAGTATTTGTTTAATATGAGATTTATCAAATTATTTTTAAGGTCAATGTATAGCATTTGGCATGATCCTTGTGAGCTGCCCTTCTCAAAAACTCACCTCTGTAACTTAAGACGGTTGGATCCATATGACACCCACCTTATCAGAGATATTGTTGGTTCTCTGATGTGAGGGGTAAATGTTAAAAATTACATGTAAAACATTATTTTGTCTCATTTAACTGATTTACAAATTGAGGAGTCTTGGAGAAGGAAATGAAAATGCAGTTTGGATGATCTATTTCCAATTTAATTTATAGATAGAAATGCAGCGTGATGAAAAAGAATTTCTATTTATCTATTTTAAAAAGAAATTGGGACAAAATTGCTTTAACAGATTATGTCCCTTTGGACTGTTAATAACATACCAATGACAAGAGAATCTCCAACTCTGCCAACCATTTTATTTCTGATCCCTCCAGTGGGTGTTGCACATGCAACGTTCCCTGCAGAGTCCAGAGCTACAGCCCCAACAGTATCGTGGGCCCTTGAATAAAAAAACAGTTTATTTCAACTTAAAAATGAAATTCTTACTGTGTACACAGAGACACATTTTTAAATTGGTCCAAATCCTCTACAACATGTCAATCTCCATTACAACATCATTGTGGTTAATAGTTTGCATGTTCTCCCTGAGCATGCGTGAGTTCTGTCTGGGTACTCCGGCTTCCTCCCATCGTCCAAAAACATGACTCTAAGGTTAATTGACTTCTCTAAATTGTCCTTAGGTGTTTGCATGAATGGTGGTTTTTCTTGTTTGTCTCTGTGTTGCTCTGTCCAGGGTGTACCCCTCCTCTCGCCAGTAGACAGCTGGAGATAGGAACCAGCACCCCTTGCAACCACTCTTGGGATAAGCGTGACAGAAAGTGAATGGATGGATAGAATATGCTCCATCCAGAATTCCTGAAGTGGAAAAGATTTTGTTTTACCTGGGTTTCATTTAATAAAAAAATCTTTGGCCATCTGATTATTAATGAATATATCGAAACAAGAATCGACAGATGAATCAATTTGCTAATTAATCGTTAGTTGCAGCCCTAAAAATTACACATCCCTAGTTGGGCTGAAAGTCTTCTATAGTCTAACTTATCTGTAAAACTGTATGTATTAAAAGATATGCTTCAGTACAATTAAGTATCAAAATGACTGTTGAAAAACCCATATGATTAATTACAAAGATCATCTACCATGTTAGACTGAACAACAATAGTTTAGAAAAGAGCATACCACTGTGTGTTGAATTCTTCATTTACTCCTGCGATGTATTTCTTGTGTTTTTCCCATTCCTTCCTCTCATATTCAGTCACCAGTTTATCTGTAGGAACCATGGTGATCCCGATGCTCTCTGCGAACTTGTTTGCACCTCTGCCCGTCAGCATTACATGGACGTCTGGAAATTTCCACAACAGCAAATAGGTAGAAGAAATGTTACATTTAATTTAAAGAAAAATTATGATTATAAGGAATGGCCTCCATGATTTTGGATTCTGAGCAGTGTTTAAAAGAACGTTTGTTGGATGTCTGGAAGTGAGATGGATCTGGTGGCAGATGTGGCAGCTAGACAAACCAGTTGAATTCAGTGACAAAAGTTAACTGAAAATGTCTGAAATGAGATCATGTTGAGCAGATTTCTGATTTATGCCTTTAAGAAACTTTCATTACGCATCTAAATCTCTAAAGAAACCTCTCTCTATGAGGAACTACAGAGCACCTGCTCAAAGGTACATAGGCCTTCTGGCCAATGAATGAGTTGAAATGCTTAACTAATGTTAAGGACTTCTGGGTTACACTTCTGGAACCATTACCACATAATCTATGATAAGTGGCAGGCTTTTATTCACTCATTACATCCTAAAATGGGATGAACAGATGATGCTATTGTATTTTTCATTTTAATGAACAAAGATATTGGAAAGAATCTCATTCCATCGTGCCAGTGTTTAAACCATAATTTCAATTCTGCTTTATCTTTCTTTGAGACAGAAACAAAAACAGGTTAAAACTAAATACTAAATAATACAATAAAAATAACACGACCTTCTCCATGACTGCCCTTGCCAATGACACAGGGTTAGCGATGTTCTTTACACAAGACACCGCACCACAGGCAAGCGTCTTTCCATCGACTATAATGGCATCCAGCTCCACTTCTCCATCAATGTTTAGCGTTGCCCCATGCCCTAGAGGAAAAGGTTTAAAAATAAAAAAATTATGTGTTTGCAGAGGGAAATATAGCAGAATTCATGTTTATTTCAGCTACAATTTCCTCTCTTGTCCAACCGGGCAAGATTAACGCTGATAAACTAGAGAGGAGAGATGTGAGCAATAAACCACCACTAATGCCCTGCTTCTTTGCTTTCCCCCTTGTCCACATAAAAATCTCCAGTCTCCAAACTTCAGAGGGGGAAATGACAAACCATTGTGGGACGATAAAGGGATTTTCTATTCCATTCTAAATCAGGGTTAGGCTCCAGTTACCAGCTGTTGTTATATTCAACCTTTTTCTACTGAATTAAACATTATTCACTGGCTTTGGATTAACAAACATTGGATAACATGAAGGTAAACCTTGGCTTTAGAGTAATCTTTAACTTAACAATTGAATGAATCCTGCAACTGAACAAAGTTGGTTTATGCAGCAACTTGCGACATTAACTGGGAAACCAAAAAACATGGATATGTGGGGATTTACCCCAGATCTTATTCTGATTCCTCACTTTCTTAAATCAGGGCCCAAGTTTTTTATTATCCGATTTTTGTTTTAGATTTTAAATTTAGAATGCAAATGAAAACCAGTTCCGTTTTTCAATAAAGACAGGGCTGATAACTAAAAAAAGATTAAGATGTAGAAAATATTTTGCTGCTGTTTAAACTTGGACCACATAGACTCATATATGTTAGAAAAATAAATACAAAACCTGTTCTTATTTGTATTTTATACTTAGTCAAGTCTCTCTTAGAGTTCATTAAACAGAACATCAATTTCGAGATGCTTCTGTTCAGTTTTGACTTAATCCAAAGGGAATTGTTGAAGATAAAGCCTGTAAAAATCCCCTGAGAGAAATAATAATAACTCCACTGAGCTCCAATAGATATCAGTAAGAAAACTTGCAGATGGAGACAGTGTTCTGATACATTTGAATAATATAATAATAAAGTTATTGTTATTTATTTTCTACATTACTTGTGGATAGTGTTGCACCAACTACACCAACTGCACCAACAAGTACCAACTAAGAGGGCACCGATACCATTTTGAGAGCCATAAGTTTATTCAACTATTGTCACCCACTCCTGGTAGGCAATAAAAAGTTCTACTGGATTCACTTTATATTAGATTTTTTCCTGCTTCACAAAGGTAGGCAGCAGCTTGACAAAGCATGATGGCAATTATTTTACATTATTATGGTATCGGTATCGGCCGATACTGCACAGCCAGGTATCGGGTATCGGTATCGGGGCCAAAAAATGGCATCGGCACAACACTCCTTGTGGATGAGGCATTCAGCGTGCTGTGAATTCATACCAAGTAGTTTCATCTGATCCTTACGTGACAAATTAATCCGTTTCATGTACCTGCATTAAAGACGGTGTTGTCCTCCAAAGCCCTAACAGCAGCCTCAACAGCATCCAGCGCACTGCCTCAACTTCTAAGCACAGACGATCCATGCCGTGCAGCAGCTTTTACTCCTTGAACAGAAGCTGGGGCCAGCTCATCTGGAATGGCCCAGGCACCACCATGAATGACCAACACCACTGACATATTTCAGCTCTTGCAGGATAAGGTGGACTCTAAAGTATAGGGTGTATTAAAGACGCAAACAAGAAAGTCAAAATAATCTCAATACATTTTCCATAATATGTATGTGGCATGATGCATCTTATATAAGTGATTGTAATTTATACTGCACTTCTACAAATGTTGTTTGTAGAAGTGCAGTATTTTAAATGCTTAAAACAATAAATTTGTTACTCTTACTTTTTTATTTTATTTTTTGCAATAGAAGGATGCTCTAAATGAGCAGGTATAAATAAAAAGAATAACATACGGTATGCATCATTTTGCGTTTCCTCAATTATTACCCTTCCTCTGTTTCAACATAGTCTAATCAATAGACCAAAGCAGTGGGACCTTTAGATGCAAACTGTAAAAGTTTCATTCACTTTAATGATTTAGAGTTACAATTATTCATACAGATTTTTTTTACATTATCACAATATCAAAATGTATTACTATTATTACTTTGCTAATTATTTGTGCTGTAACTGTGAATTTTGCAGCTTCTGATGGATAGTTGAAGTCTTAACTTGGAAGTCGATATTTATTCGTTTAATTATAAGATATATTGCTCTATTTTGACCTGAACTCTATGCGCTACGACTCTATACTCTTCCAGTCATTTCTTTATTAATTCAACGTGTTTGTGCTGACCTCTAATGGTCAACGAGCAACACTACACATTCAAACGGCACAGTTGTACCAATAAGACATGATGTCAATAGCAAAACGCCCTCTACTGATGAAAAGACAACACTACACATAACATTCGAACAAGGCTGAAAAGGAATCAACTGTAAATAGCTTATAATCTTTAATTTCTGTAAAATTTGATCATGTATAAAAATTCTAGTTATTTTCCTGTCCCCTAAAGTTAGAATCTATGTCTTTGTATTTCACAAGAGTCTCCCTCAAATATACAGTGACAATCATATCTGTTTGCAGCCAGTTCCCTTTATTTTGCTATATTTTTATTGGCCTAGAAAAATAAAAAATTTCCTGA